TAGAGTGGCTGAACTCGATAGCCGATCCTACGTCACGACTTAATGAGGTGGAGATTAAAACTAGCCGAATATGAATACGAAATAAAATATAAGCCTGGAAAGAAGAATAAAAATGCTGACGCTTTATCACGAAATCCTATCGAAGAAATTAAAACTCTATGTCCGTTACGCGCCAAGCGAGCACGATCTTCCTCAAGCGAAGCTTCAATGGAAGCAGAACATAAGAAATTAAAAACTCAACATCCAAGCTTCAAAAGACCAATGATATACGAAAGTACAGGCTCAGATAACCCTGCGCCACATAAGAAAATTAGACCTGACGAATTATCTCCTTATGAAGACTCGGACGATGATAGAAAAATTCCGCAAGCATTAAAGGAAAGCGATAGTGACGATGCAACTACGTCATATTTCTATGAAACTGATTATGATACAGATGATTCTGAAATTGGACAAAAAGGCGAAAAGAGAAAACATTTAAGTAGCTCATCTAATCACGAACAACGAAAAAGACGAAAAAGCAAAAAGAAACGAAAACATGTGCATGAATCAAACAAGAAAAATGTCGAAGAACAACGTGATGAACCTAAAGACGCCCGAACATGCGGATGAAGCTGAAAGGTGCGGCTCACCGGAATGTCATAGCGACAGTAGCGCCATCTATGAGTATCCACGGAAAGCCCGTCGCACGCCCGACAACGCGCCAAAGCTTCGCAAAAGAGACGCCTCAGCGAAAACCACACAACGGGTGTCTCAAATAAACGCGTCGATAATAAAAAATCTCATGAACAAGAATATACATATGAACAAGAACAAAATATGCAATCCGAACCTATGGAAATTGCAACACATTCTAGCGATAGTTTCGAAATACATAGGAATATTGAAGTACAAGCAGAAATACATGCACCTCCTACAAATATAAAAATACTACACGATAAAAATAAAAAGAAGGAAAATAAAAATTTACAAAAACCACCTAATAAAGATTTAATTGAAGAATTAGAAGAAACCATACCGCTGAATAAAAAGGAGTCAAAGGTAATGGAAATAGAGAGCGATAACAAAATGGATTATGAAATAGAAAATAGATTGTTGGATTACCGCGAACAAAAAACTTCAAGCAATGAGACGAGTGACAGCGAAATAGAAAAAATATTTTCTCCTCCAACGTATAAAGCGAAACCGTATCCTGTAAAAATACCTGCAAAATTAAATAAAGATAAAAAAGAAAGGAAACAAAGTCCTGCTCGTCGTAAGAAGCAAGCTAAAAATTTAACAAACAAAAGATCACGAAGTAAGACCCCAAGCAGAAAAGTTATAAAAGAAATTAAACGACCAATTCCTAAAATAAAAGAAACAAGAGAAATTCCTATTAATATTCTAGATTCACGAGATCACATTTGGATGAAAAACGATCACGTAATATATTTCATAGATACTAAAGGAAATGCGATAGACGAAATTGGTAAAGAATTAATAGCTAGAA